GCATCCTTTTATTCAAAGGTGGGTATAATTAAAGTCACAAAAGGTCCAGCTGCCTCCCAGCAGCCACTAATAACAAGCTCAGGGAAACAACTTCCTCTCAGCTGTAGAAAGCTTTCTCTAGACTCTGCACACGGCCCTCACACTGGGGCTGCCTTTCTCCTCTGTGCTTCCAGAGGAGGCCACTTGAGGCCTGAGATCTTCTTGACCGGCCTCCCGCGTAAATGGATGCACCTTGAGACCACACTCTTCAGTGAATAGGTCAGACACACGTAGGCAAATGCCACACTGTGTCTGCAGTGAGAAGCGGAAAGTGTAAATAAGGACCAAGATGTACAATAAGTAATGTGCAACAGGGAGGAAAATGCTGAACCGGGAACACCACTGGACAGGGAGAAGGGGAAAGAAAGAGAACAAAAAAAAAAAAGGAAACCAAACCAAACTAGCAAACAAAAAAACCCACCCTCATTGTCTTATTTAACATTTATTTTTAGGCTGGGGAGATGGCTCAGTGGAATAAGCGCTTCCCTGGCAAGTGCAAGGGCCCGAGTTCAATCCCCGGTTCCACAAAAAAAAAAAAAAAAAAAAAAACCAAAACATTTATTTTACTCCTTAAAGCAATCTAGCCATAAAATAAATGGGTCTGGAGGCTAGCTTTATAGTCTAGCTATAGTCGTCATGCCTAAGAGCTGAAAAATCAAGTATGAAAAATCGAGTATGTCTTCTCTGTGGCACCTACAAGTCTGTGTATACCACACTTTGAAAAATGCTAAATGTTGCCCAAGAAGGTGTAAAAAATAGTTGAGTAAATGGTCAGGTACTTGGTGGGTACCACTTTCATGTCTTCAGAGCTCTCATTTTTCTTTTTTTTTTTTTTTGGTGCCAGGAATTGAACTCATAGCCTTGAGCTTGCCAGGCAGGTGCTGTGCCACTGAACTACATCCCTGGCCCACAGTTTTCCCTGTTGATGATGTTTGAGTACAACAGCTAGCAGGATGGAGACACTAGTCAGTTTTTTGTTTTTTTTAAAAAAGTAGACCAGGGTGCTGGGTTATGAGTTTGGGGGTGCAGCACAGTGGTAAAATGCTTGGCCAGTATGAGGAAGATACTGGGTTAGCTCCCCAAAAGTGGAAAAAAAAAGTCATTATTTGAGATAGCCAGTGCCCAAGCTCACACAGGCCCTCTAGCACGCCAGCAGTCAGCTGCCAAATTCTAAATGCATCTCCTAATCAAAGGGGGAAATGGGAGCAGGTACTTTCCAACTCGGAATTCCGCCTTTCACACAACAGCACAAGCAATGGGCAAGCTTAACAGCCTTCCTAGGTACTGCTATTCAAAATCAAAAACAGTTATAAGTTCTGAATGTGTGCCTGCACTTTTTTCCCTGTTATACGAATTATAACCTTAAAGTCTAATCAGTGATGGGTGTATTTTATTGGAAGTCAACTCCCAGTCGAGATAAATTAATCTGCTTCATGTGGTTTATTTTAGGGATTAGGTAAGGAACTCGTGGACAGCTCATATTCTTGGCAGAAGTTTACTGATAGTTTAGTGACCACTTACCTTTCTTAACTCTGCTCTGCCCCTACTCCATCCACAGCTGCTGCTACACGGCAGGCAAATTACCTACAGAACTGAACTACAGAACTACTCTTGTGCTGAGCACTAAGGTGGTCCAAAGCAGTCCCACCTACTTTCAAAAACTTATGTGTCTCCTAAAAAGACAATATTCTAAGGAGAAAAAATCTTGCTAAACTTAATGTACTGTACCAGCTCTCCAGGACAAATAGAATCACTAAGAACTGCAAGCATGTACTACTAAACATTCAAAAAAATTTTTTTTAAGTTAATAGTGGGGGATTTCATCAGCCTATTTTGCATTGGAAGGTTTTCAAAAAGTTCTCACACTCAGCCTGAAGATAAACAGTTGGCTCTGACCTGTCCGAGTACAGAGAACTAGATCAAAAGTTAAAGTTAAATGAATGTAAGCAAAAGCCACAGCAAATGGAATTCCCCAGGGGGTGATGCAAAATTTCTCTGTGTGCCTCAAAAATAGAGTATTTACTGTGAAGAGGGCGGAGGGATACTTATGGGGAGACTGGCTTGTTGGTGTCTTGGGAAAGTCAAGCCATGGGTGGGAGCTCTTAAGGCTCCTCTTCCAAAGTGCTGTTGCTGGGATTAAGGCCTTCCCAAGGCAGCCTGGCAGGGCACACCCACCATCCCAGCCCCTCAGGAAACTCAGATAGGACTGCAATTTGGAGGCCACCATGGGCAATGAACTCAAAATTAAAAACAAAAAAGGGCCGAGGGTATGTGTTGAAGCTCTGAGTTCAGAATCAAAAAAAGAAAAAAGTGCGATCCTCTCTAAGTTTTGTTTTGGCAACTACCTGGCACCTCCTATCTGTACTCACAGATCTTGCCCTCTACGAGTAACACCTCCACCACTTAAATTTTCTACACCATGTTTGTTCCCACAACCAGCCACCGTGTGCTTAGCACCTACCCCATGCTGGGCCAACTCTGCTGTCTTTCATTCAGTCTTCACCCAGCCCAGAGAAGCGAATGCACCACCAACCTCCTTTTTCCATAGGGCCTTATGCTGGAGGCTGTCTGCTAAGAAGTCCTTTCTCCCCACCAGGAACGGTTTGCAGAGAGGACAAGTTTTTCCTTTGTTTTATTTCTGAATTGTGGAGTGTGCAGCTATATTACACATGCCTTCCCTTGGCCCCAGGAATCCCAAAGCAGAAAGATCACAGTGTAAGCTCCAAAAGGTTCGCGTCCTCCACTCTTGAAGGCAGAAATTGAGTGTTAACCAACTCTGTCCTCACAGTGACTGGTAACATATTGATGCGCACCAAGTATTAGCCGAGTGGTACTCAAAACGCTCCAGCTGTGGGCTGAGAATCATTCTGAGCACATTCGAGGACCACAGCCAGATAAGATCCTCAGCACCACAAAAAAAAAAAAAAAAAAAAAGTTGCAACAGCTTTTTAGGGTCAAAAAATGACCCTTCAACAATCTTTGGCAATCTCAAGAAACCTCGAGATACAACTCTCAGAAACCATTGCCAAAAAAAACAAACCAAAAAAAAAACAAAACAGAAACCACTGAAGCCTTGGGGGAAAAAAGCACCCCTCCCCTCTCCCATCACCCCAGAGCACTTGTCCATATTTCTAAGTAGCACTCATTCGACGTTTTTAGGGGGGCTGTGGGGCAGTCCTGAGAAATGGCCCCAGGGCTTTACATTGAGCTACAGTGCATCCCAGCCCTTATTTTTTTCAGTCTCCTTACGATGATAAATTGCCCACGACGGGCTCAAAATTGCAAACTCCAGCCTCAGTCTCCCACAGCGCTGGGACTACAGGCGTGGCCACCACACCTGGCCTCACAGGACTTAATTATCTGCAGACTTTCCCAACAGGACTGTGTGGTGAAGGCTTGCACCTCCTCCCATCTTCCCATCTCCCCCACCAGAGTTATTCCTGAAAATTCAGCGTGCCTCTTCTCAGGCGGGATATTAAAAGACACTCTGCTACCAATGCAATTACGGCTATGTACTCATTTCTCACTTAAAAGATCTCTCGGACTGGGGAAGCAGCTCAGCGGGACCGTGCCTGCCTGGCAAACTCCCACCCTAGCTATCTCTTCCCAGTGTGCCTGGTGGATGTTACTTCCTGACTCAGAAACAACCTTGGTCAAAGGCAGACCCGGTTTCCCAAAGGGCTGCCGACACACCCACAGACCACCTAGGCAGCCGAAGAAAGAACGGGGTCCCTTTTTCCTCCCTGCTGGGATTTCAGGGCTGGGGGAGGGGACTGCGGCGGAGCTGGGTAGTGTCTATCTAGGAGGCGGTGACTCTGCTGGGAACTTCAGGAAAACCACAATCATTATTACTCAGACCAGACAGCTGCCAGGGAAGTAGCTCTGCCTAAGAACTGACGCTAAAACAGGGGTGGGAGGGTGTATTCCATTACTAAGCCCTGGAGTATTCACTCCCAAATTCATCCACATTTCAAGAATGCTAAAAACCTGTTGCCGAAATCCTTGATATTTATAACTTAAACTACTGTGTAAAAGTAGAAACGCGACAAATGAAGACATAAAATAAAAGGAACTAGTGACGGGTAAGACAATACCAGAGTACAAAGTATGCACCAATCTCTGTGCGGCTTCTTCCAAAGCCCAATCTCTATTCCCTACTTAAAATAGGAACTCTATACAGCAGAGGTAGCTAATTAAAAAGGAAAATGAAGATGTTGGTCTGCAGTTCTCAGTTTAGTCTCCGATATATTATTTGCCAGTGCTTGTTAACTTTGCATTAAGCAGAGTGCGATATAAAACAGAAGAAAACAGAGGCACGCAGCGGGCGACAACAGTCGTAACACAACACGGCCACAAGCAGAGAAACCCACAAAGAGTCTAAGACAGTCTCCCCCGATTTGAGACTTAATCTCAAACCCAAGTGACTTCAAAGAATTCGGGAGCCCCCGAAGCCACGAGCCACCGTCTCTGTCCCGGAAAGTCTCCCTTTCCCCGCGCCCCACCCACGGGTGGGAGAATCGTGGTTTTCCAGGGAGCAACGGGGACACCCTCGGGGTCACTTACGCGGTGCCAGCCTGACAGCTCCCGCCGCGGCGGAAACCCACGCTCTCCGCGCACAGGCATCTCGGCGGGGGGCCGCCGCTCCGGGCCGGCTCCTCCGCCTCCTCTCGGCAGCCGTTCAGCCGTCAGACCTGCAGCCCAGTCGCCGAAGTGCCCACGGTGCTGGGCCACTTCTTTGTGCCTCCTTCAGCCACGGGGGCGGCGTCGGCCCGCCTCCAGCGTGAGCGCACAGTGCGCCCGCCGCGCCGCCAGGCCCGGGAAACTCTCAAACCGGCCGCTACCATCTCCGCGCCGGGAGGGGGGTGCTGCTCGCCCGCCCGGCCCGAGGCCCCCGGGCGGGCCACGTCACGTGCAGAACTCCGGCTGAGGGGCGGAGAGGAAGAGGGCCGGGCAGGGAAAGGACGGCCCCGAGGCCCGGGCGTCCCGCAGCACCAGCGTCCCCCCCTCCCCCGCCGATGGTTCGCTCCACGGCTTGCACCAGGGCCAGCAGGTCCGGCTCCGAGCGCGCCCCGGGGAAAGCGCAGCGAGTTTGTAGAGCTCGAGTTTCGCCCCAGGTCGCACGGACATCCCGCAGAGCGCTTTTCCGTGACGATTGCAAGGCCTCGCACAAGCAGCGCCACGTTTCTCTTCCAAAGCTCAGAGCTGAGAAAATCCCCAAAGTTTTCTGACCTGTCTAGAGGCCTGTGGAGCCAAACAGCACGTACACAGCATTACACCCAGGATGTCTCAGCCCAGTTTGTTACCCAACTTCCAAAGGTATAAGATGTTCATATTAAATATTAAAACAGGGCTTCTCAGGACAGTGTATCCGACAGATTAGCTCTTTGGCACAACGCCAACAAGCCCAGTAAAGACACCGAATGAAATACCTCTATGGTCATCAGCCTATCGCAGGGTGTCGGTAGGTCACAAAGGTTTATCTGGTAGGATTCATCTAATTCGTCTCAACATGGTTATTCCTTTCAGAGTCCCTTATGCCCAAAGACTTGTGCAATTTAAACACGTATCTTTATTTCAGGAGCCTATAAGTTATTTGGAGAAGCAAACAGGCATGTCAATAAAATACCAAAAAAAAAAAAAAAAAAATTCAATCCCCAGTTCAGCCAAAAAAATAAATAATAAAAAATAAAATAAAATACATAATTTTGGATTTGGAATCTAAAAGACGTTTTTAAAGAAGAAATGTAGGGGCTGGTGAGATGGCTCAGTGGTCTAAAGCACCTACTTAGAACAAGCTAAGCTAAGCAAAACACAGGGACCGCGATTCAATCCCCCAGCACCACATGCCAGACAGCCCCGCCCCCTGGTGGGCTGAGCTGGCCACACACACACACATAAATAAAGAAATAAAAAAAAAAAAATTAAAGAAGAAATGTATTGCCCAAGCTGCTCTTCCCTTAAGTTGCATAGCAAAACCTGGCCTAGACTCACAAGAAAAGGTTAGAGGTAAAAAAAAAAAAAAGTCTGGCAGCCTCCCCGGTGACCAAATCCAGATGTGCATGTCACTAGCTCTAAAAGATTGCTTCACTTCCTGTCTCTCAAAACACAGTTGGCAGTTTACGTGGAAAAACAAGTCCTGCAGATGCCGCTCTGAAAGTGTTCCGCTTCTGGCTTGCTTTAGAGTAACTCAGGCCCACGCTCAATAAAGAGCGCTGTGAGTAATATTTCCCACTTCACCTCTGCTCTCACGACTGAGGCACTGGGGCTGGGCTCTTTACCTGGGTGTTACTCGCTAGACCTAAGCGCTTATTTTAGAAAATGGTCCCTTAATTAGGTGGTGCTGACTGGTCACAATAATGATAGCACCTGTGAAGTGGTCACACCTTAACTGCTAGGAGCTTACACCAGTAGTATTTTAAAAAGGGAAGATCCAGAATATAGCAATTACATCTGCTGAATGATTCCCTGTTTCTCTCTCGAGCTGACTGTCTAGTATAATGACCACTGCCTCCCTGAGGATGTTTACATTTAACTAAGATTAAAAGAAATGATGTTTCCAGTGCTCAAGAGCCACATGTGGCTAGTGGCCACCACTTTGGACAGGGCAGATACAGAATATTTTCAACACCCCACTATGGTACTCCAAATGATGACATAAATTAAAATATCTTTCTTCTGGGCCAGTGAGATAGCTCAGCAGACCAAGCGCCTGCTTAGGCAAGTACAGGGATTGGGATTCGATGCCCTGCACCCCATGCCATGCCACCCCAGCCCCCAGCATGTTGAGCCAGCCACAGAGACCGGACGGTAGTGCACACCTGTAATCCCAGCACTGGGGAGGCTGAGACAGAAGGATTACTATGAGTCCAAGCTGCATAGTGAGACCCTGTATCTATACACCGGCTTTGTTGCTGACTGTGTGACTCACTATAACTCTTTGAAGGAACAATTTATTGTTCTATTTATTGGACTGGATGTTTTTTAAGCTACATTCCCAGCCTTCCCTGACCTGCCCCACACATACACACACAAAACAGGGACTTGAACCCCAGACCTTCAAATGGAGCTACATGCCCAGCCCTTTTTAATTTATTTTCTCATTAATTCATGAAATTCCTGAAATCGAGTTTGAATTTACCATCCTCCTGCCTGAATGCTGCAATTACTGGCATATATACTGGCCACCATGCCCTGCTAACTAGACAATTCATTGGATAAAAATTCTTTGTACAAACACATTCTAGAAGAGGGTTACATAAAATATGCAAGCCTGGGCCAGGGATATAGCTCAGCAGCACAGCACCTGCCTGGCAAGTTCAAGGTCCTGAGTTCAATTTCTGGTACAGGAAAAAAAAAAAAAAAAGAAAGCCTGCCAAAAGTAATGACCCGTGCCTGTAATCACAGCACTCTGGAAGGCAGAGAAAGGAGGAGTGCAAGCCCAGAACCCAGGATGGGCAGCTGAGTAATTTAAGGAGATCCTGTCTGTGTTCAGTGCCCAGCACTGCAGAGAGAGGGAGACAGAGGCTGACTGTAAATGCTGAGACTGAGGTTAGGCACAGGGTGGTCTGTGATCTCTCAGAAAGGACTGCCACCTCAGTGATACTCAGGGGCTGGGGTTTCGGGAAGGCTCCCAGGAGATTAGGGTGAAGCTACGGCAGGCTTCGAGCAAGTTTGCCCAGATAAGCAGAGGCCCTGTTCTCACAGAAGTAGAATCAAACGCATTTTACACAGAGCCCTCATCTTCCCCCCCCCCCCAAAAAAAAGAAGGCAGACCTGGCAGCTGGGAGGACATTAGAGTAAGAGTACGATCAACAAGAACTGCATTTTTGTGGAAACGTACACAAAATGTGATACCGCTGTGAGGTCCAGCGGAAGGAGACAAAGGGGAGCCAGATTCCAGAGAAACTCGGGAAGCAGGGCAGCAGGCTGGGTAACAGCTTCATTAGTTAGATAAGCAACAGGGAAGTGAGCCCAGGGTGACTCCGGTTCCTCACTTGCCTAAGGAGATGACAGTGTCTTTGACTAAAAAAGAGAACACACAAATGACAGCATATCCCGGGAGCAGCCTGAGGAAAGGTGACACCTTTAGTTACAGATGTATCCAAAAGCGCTCTGGGTCATCCAGGCAGCGATGTCAGTATGTATGTAGCCCTTGAAACATATGACTAACCTTGTCATCAAGGTGCCTCAACATGAGTCCATGTTTATTCGACAGAATATTTCCATTGATGAATTATTAATTTTAGTTTTATGAGTTTGGTTACATTAAAAAATGAATACCTAACAGGAAAAATACCACAAAAATTAAGTGTTTTTAATATTTATTGTTTATATTGAGTTTTTAATATTTCTTGTTTATAAAAAAGCATCAAAATTTTCAACATCAACTGATTTTTGACATGGACTAAAACAAAATTCCAGGGCCAAGGAGATGATAGCTCAGCAGAATAAATGCCTGTCTGGCAAGCGCAAGGTCCTGAGTTCGATCCCCAGGGCCATGAAGAAAAAAAAAGAAAAAAAAACAGAATTCCAGAAGTAAATTTCCATATGGACTACAGTGACAATACCAATAGCACTCTACCAAAAGAAGTCTTCACTTGCCCCTTCCAAGGCAGTAGCATACAGGACAACAGCACGTTGGGTACACACACGTCACTTAATCTGATAGCACGTGTGTTTTGCTTTCCTGGCCTTTTTTTTTTTTTAATTTTTTATTCTTTTAATAAGAAAAAAGATAACAAAACAGTTTAGTAGGATAGTTACAATAATTAATATATTGCATATTGTTGGCTTCATAGTAGTTATTCAGAGGACACAATGCAGACATGATATTTCCTGGCCTTTTTGTAGGACCTACTTGACATCTCAGTGGTCTTACTGTTTTGTTTTGTTTTGTTTTGTTTTGTTTTGTTTTGTTTTGTTTTTCTCCGAACGCCCTCAGGGCAGGTTTGGCTAGCTTGAGTTGTGGGGATGGAACCGCAGCAACCTGAGCCTGACTGCTTTGTTGAAGCAGCCACTTAAAGAACTGAGCTAAGGGGCAGGCCCCCAGGATTTTTTTTTGTTGTTGTTTTGTTTTGTTTTGTTTTGTTTTCTATTTAGTACAGGATCTACAGGGTCTACAGGGGCTCACTACATAGATCGTATTTCTAGTGATCTGCCTGTGTTCAGCCTCCCAAGAGCTGGGATTACAGGCGCATGCCACCACACCCAGTCTCAGTCTGTCTCAGCATGCCCCAGGGGTGGGGCTGGCAAGGCATGCTGGGGATCAAACCCTGGCCCCTGTGTCTGCCTAAGCAAGCACTTTAATCCACTGAGCTATTTGGCTGGCTCTTTTGAGCTATTTGGCCAGCCCTCTTACTGCTTTGTCAGGAGGCTCTTATTATATTATACAGTATGTAGTTAACAGGAACATCAAATAGCAATAAATCATTAAATTATGAATATGTATTGTTAATTTAGAATACACACCAACACTTTCACATCAGCTGTGTACTTCCATGCAAAACCTAAAAGATAGAATCAAAAACAAATTCCTTATATGAATTACAATGAAAATACCAATAGAACTCTACCACGAAAATGAGCTTTCCTTCAACTGTCACATCTCAGGGAGTCTTCACACATGACAACTGTGTATTTCATGCACACATCTCGCTTACACTGACAGCACGTGTGCTTAGCTTTTCCTTCCTATGTGGCAGGCTTGTCGCCTCTCTTCTGTTCCTGTTTTGTCAGGAGCTTCCTACTGTATTTCACAACACA